AGAGGCAGCCGAAGAGAGAGGGGAGCCGGACAGGGGGTTGGGGGTGTTGCAGACCCCCTCCTCGTCCGGAAAAACCCCTTTTTCCTGAGGTGGTGGAGCGGTGGTCAGTAATGGCCGCCACAAAGAAGCCTGCAGCAGGGTAAGATTGTGCTGGAGGAAGCAGGAAAAGTGAAAGTGCTGTCTGAGCCGGGTCAATCAACAACTTTTAAACACCCTGGAAACTGAATCGTTTGAATTGCTGGAAGATACATTGTATCCCCAAGAAGATCGGAAAGCGGCGGAGAAAGCTGTCAAGGGGAAAAAAACCTTTTTTTCCCCTTCACTCTCCCACCCCATAGAAACAGCAGATGAAGATTTGGAAAATTTATTTGGGCACTGAAGGTAAATTATTTTGAAAGTTAAAGCCAAGCGATAAAGGATTCCTGGACATTGGATTTAATAACTTAAGAAATCGGAAAACCCTTATTGGAGGTATGGATTTCTGAATACTTAAAAGAAAATTGTTGTTGTAAGTGGGAAGGGAGAGGAAAAAAATTGGAGCAGAAGTTGAAAAAGGAGGAGATTGCCTAGAACTTTAAAGAAAGATATATTGTAATTGGATCTCTTTGATTAAACACTAACCCCAGAAAGAGAAAGAGAAGAAAGAACTTTGCTAACTTTGGAATTCTTTGCAATTATTTTTGATTAAAAATACTTGGGTGGTTGTTTTGGAAAAAGTTTTTCTCTTCACAATGGCATCGCTTGTGGATGAACTAAAAATTGAATATCAAAAATATAAAAAAGAAAAACAAGATGGAAAAGATACTTTGGGCACTCTATTTCAATTTCTAGAAATGGTGGTATGCACTTATGAAAAGTTGACTACGCAGCAGGACGACTGGGACAAAGAAGAAGAAGAAGCCATCTTTGATGAACAATGGGTTCTTTTTGGGGAGGAGGAGAAAGAGGAAAAGAAAAAGGGGATTTTAAGGTTTGAAAAAACAACCAAAAAAGAGAAAAATGAGATGAAAGGTGGATACAAGGTTAGAAAACAACAGAAAGGGAGTAAGAAAAGGGAGGAGGAGAGACAAAGGGGTAAAAAGGGCAAGGAGAAGAATAAGCAAGAGAGAAAGGAGGGGATGAGAAGCCTTAATGGTGGGAAGCAAGACTTAAAGAAACAAAGCTTATTTAGAGACAATGGGTAAATCTAATTGAAAAAAGGGATTCTGGAAGGTACATAAGATTGTGTTTTTATATGTGTATTTAGAGTAAAATGCTTAAGATATAAATGAGTATCAATATATATGATTAGCTTTTTAATGATATGGATAGTGGTTATATATGATTTTATTTAGTTACTGTTATGTTTTTACCCCTTTCATAAAATTTATTGTGTAACTTTAGAATGTACTAAACAGAATCCCAATATAAATTAAGTGTTATATTAAGTAATTTTAAGTTAGGGGAATGAGTCAAAGGCATCACTCCAATCAGTGTACAGGAGAAGTATATTAAAAGAGAAAAGATGAATGGATAGATGGAAATAGAACAGACAAAGAATGATAAGTATTATGAACTGAATTGAGATAAGATAAATAAAACAAAATTAAGAAAGATAAAAGAGGGAAGAAGTTATATAGAAAGTTGAAAATGGTAATAAGATATGGAACGATATATAAAGTGAATATGATTTTTGAACTTGTGTCTGTGCGAAGAGTTTTTAGCCCGGGATCAAACAGCCTTCAGAAAAGATGTTTTATGTGGTTTTTTTTTTATGTTTTATGTTTTGTATGTTTGTGTATTGTTTATGAAAGGCAATAAAACTTTAATTAGTAAGAAATATAATTTGGATAATAGAATGAAAAGGAGAAGTTGGGATACGATACAAAGTTGAATAGATAACGTAAATATCTATATTACAATTTGGAACTATTTTGTACGTTCTATTGGTTTTCTTAGAAAGGATTTTTTATGTTATTATGCCTTGATTGTTTGTGTATTGTTTTTGTAAAACTAATAAAATTTGTTGGAAAAAAAAAATTCAGATGCTTGGCAACTGGTTCATATTTACGACCATTGCTGTGTCCCAAGATACGCAATCCCCTTTTGTGACCTGACAGGCAAAGTCAATGGGGAAGCCAGATTCGCTTAACAACCATGTTCCTAATCTTATCAACTGCAGTGATTCACTTAGCATGAGGGGTGAGGTGGCCTAGAGGTGGAGCTCTCACCTCACAATCAGGAGGCTGTGAGTTCGATCCTAGGTAGCGGCAGATCTCTCTGCACCATGAGTACCGTAAATATCTGCTGCAAACTCTGCATTGGTGACCTGTCACCAATGTCAGCTCCATTCAGTTGCCCAGACTCCACCCCACCGTAAGGGATTACGGGGGTCATTAAAAAGACAAAGAAGTGATTCACTTAGCAACTGTGGAAAGAAAGTCTTAAAATGGGGCAAAACTCAATAACTGTCTCACTTAACAGAAAATTTGGGCTCAATTACGGTTGTAAATGGAGGACTATATTAACAGAATCTTACAAGTCTGTAGCAGAATACATATATACTCTGATTCCCGCCCTGGTTATCCGTAGTTTTTCCAAACTCAGTTCAAATGTTTCCAGGGGTCTTCCGTACTTACGCTGCACTGTCACCTGTATGACACAGCTCTCCTCTCCCGCTTCATTGGAGGCAATACACTGGTAAGATCCTGTGAACGTCCATGTGAGATTCTTCACAATAATTTGGGCAGGATTAGACAGATCTAAAATAAATGAAGGGATTCAATGACGTGTGGAGCATAATGGTATCATTCCATTGTACAATTTGCCTGGTGTAAACAGTGATGCTTTTAAATAAGAAATAGGATAATTCCCCGGGGGAAGTGGCGGGATGGTTTGAACCGGCCAAACTCACTGTGACGTGTGGAGGGCGGCAGAAACGCGACTTTCCCCTTTGCGTCTACACGCTGCCACATGTACATGATAGGGGCTGTGCCAGAGACGGAGTTACATTGTAAAGTGATTTCTTTTCCTTCAGATGCCACCCCTTCCTTCCAGCATTTGGGTTTCGAAGGTTTTTCTGGAAAGGAAGAAGAAACACTCAGTGAGATTCTGTAGAGATTCTCCGTCATCCAGGTCATGGTTGTCCCAAAGGTGTTTTTTTCAGGAGGCAACTGGACCTTTTTTTTGAAGACATTTCGCTTCTCATCCAAGAAGCTTCTTCAGCTCTGACTGGATGGAGAGGAACGGAAGGATTTATATTTCTGGCAAACAGCTGGTCATTTGCATCCTTTTAGCGGGTCGTTGAGGTCACTTGGAGGTTTATCTGTGTCCTCAGGGTCACCTGAGTGTTGCTCCCGGTTCCTGTAGTCTGCAGTTTTTTTCCTCGGGCAATGCATTCCTACTCCCACACCATTCCAAGGGTGTTCATCCCAAATTGCATATTGTATTTATAAATAAACTTAAATGAAATGCAAGTTGCATAGCTAAAAAGTCTGTAGAGATTCTCCGTCATCCAGGTCATGGTTGTCCCAAAGGTGCTTTTTCAGGAGGCAACTGGACATTCCTGTTTTTTTCCTTTTGAAGATATTTTGCTTCTCGTCCAAGGAGCTTCTTCAGCTCTGACCATCCAAGAAGATTCTTGGGTAAGAAGCAAAACGTCTTCAAATGAAAAAAACAAGAACATCCTGAAAAAGCACCGTTGGGACAATCAGTGAGATTTTCCCTGTGGGTCAGAAAAAAAAAACCAGGATAATCAACTGAAAAGCTAAATACTTGTTTTGGAAATGTGGTGACCATCTTACCTAGAACCTTCAGAGTGATGTGTGTCCATTCATACTGTCCAGCATTTTTAACTTTGCATGTATATTGCCCGGAGTCGCTTGGCTGCAGGAGAGAAATCTCCAAAGACGCATCTCCACTCAGGAAATTGGAGGCAAATGAAACACGGCCCTTCTGTTCTTCGATCATATCATGATAGATGTTGCCTCCTGCATAAGTGATCACCTGGGAGACAAAGTTGCTCATCAGCTAAGGGTCTTTTGCAAACTTAGTTAAACTTATGGCAGCATTTATTTGTTCACCAGATAACCTCCCCAGCTATGATTACTCACTTCACACAACCAGTAACAAGGCAAGCTTTCAAAATTATTAATAACAGCATGCACCAGTTCAGTTTCATAATTACTGTATTTCTTAATGGATCTGTTGGCCACACACACTAACTGGGATTCACTATAAAGCCAAATTTTAAGGTACTTCCAATTTAGAGAAGGAAAACATGCATATTGCAAATGAGTTTAACGTGATGAAATATGGAGTTCTCTTCAATCTCTACAAGCCAGACTAATCCTCTCCAAATGACTGTTGATAACTGGAATTGGTAGAAGGGTTTATTTTGAAAATCTAACACTTTCTTTCACTATTTAAGGAAGAGGGAAAGGATTTTTTTTTGGAGAGTAGGGAACTCAATTCTTAGTGCCTGATATATGTCTCTGTGTTTAGTGAATAGCACTTTAAGCCTCCAAGCTGTAATCTGGAGCTGATCATAACCTGATAATGGTTTTTGTTTGCTTGCTTAAAGGATTATCTCATACTTCATTTCATCAGAAGAGCTGAATATTTGGAGGAAGTTAAGTTTAACTGCTGCTTTTGCAAAGCAATTGTGAAAGAGAAAATACTTGGCTGATCTTTTCTGATCCTTTCAAAAAGCTCAGCAGACATCTATGTATCTTCTGCTATCTTTGCACTGTGTGAAAAAAAAAATGAAATTCAGTCCTCTTAATTGCAAAGATTGGAAAAGAGATGATTTTTAAGATGGCTGTTGGGTACTGGAATTCCTGCTGTAACCACTAAATGGTATATTTGATGACTTGTCATGACTCATAATTTTGACTGTCTATCAGCCATTCTTGAGTCCAGTTGAAAAAAGAAATGTTTTCAATGCTCGGATGACTGCTGTGAAATCTTTGGTAAGCCTTGTCGGGAAACCAGTGGATGAACCACATTTTTATAAGCAGATTCTTTCCTTTTGAGCTAAAAATCACAATGAAGGCAAATCACAATTATATAGGGCTGTGCAAAAGGGAGATTTGTAGTAAACAGGGGCATAACAAGACTTACTTGTTTTAAAGAATTACGGAGAGACAGTGTTTAAACACCTTTTTGCCTTCTGCTTGGTCCTGTGTTAATTACTCCGGATACATCAGTGTGTACAAAGAAGCTATTTGCAATGTGCATTTGCAAGAAAGCCTGATCCATAGTCCTATAAATCCACATTCTCATACCTATAAATATTCATTCTATAAATATTGACAATCCTAGCAAATGGGCCGTACAACAATGTTCTAGACTAGGGCCAATGTATTTTAGCGGTTAGACTGATGTTCCTTAAACTTTGCAACCTTAAAATGTGTGGACTTCAACTCCCAGAATTCCTCAGCCAGCACGTGGAATTCTGGGAGCTGAAGTCCTCGTGTTTTAAAGTTGGAACACTAGGTTTAGACCTACCACTTTCGGTTCAGCTTCAGAATTCTTTAGCAGCCACTCTATATCCAGACTCGCTGGCTCCAGAAGGTGCAGGCGATGAAGGCAGGGCAAAGTTACGTTTGCTTCGGCCACCCTTTTAAATTCGGTCTGAGCTTGTGACATCCAAGTACAACAGGAGGCTGAAAAAGAAGAACTAAGCCATTTAACTGATTTCTGATCTCATCGATATTGTTTTTCTAGTTTCCTTTCTGGTTGCAATATGGGCCAATAATATATCAAGGACCTTGCTTTGGCAGTGGGTGGGTGGGGGTAAGCAGTCATTTTTTAAAAACAAGATAACTTTTAAGAATGATAGTTTATTCATTGTTGGCTTATTTTAGTTTTTAATTGACTTAATTTGGTCATAGCCAGGAATGTGGAAAAGTTGTAAAGAACCAGAAATTAATCAGTACTCTTTCATTTTGTTGTGTTTAGTTAGTGTTATAGGAAGCCCCCTCCCCAGATTTAAATTTTCTTTATTTTTAATATTATGTGAGGCGGTATAGATTATTTCCTCAAAGGAGAAATGGAGAAATGTGTTCTTAAAGGCAGAAAGCAACCCCAGTCTTTCTTAATAGCCTCAAGCAGAAGCCACACATCTTTAAAGATGGAGATTTTGTATTCGTTCAGGGGAATGGGCCAATCTACTCATCAACAAAACTCACAGGAGGTTGGAGCTGATGGGATTAAAATCCACATTCCCCCCACCCAAATTCTAAGGACAGGACATGACCTTTAGGACATAATAGGATTTACCCACCACCATTAGAATAACAAAAGACACAAGGCTCACTACATTGCACAACCCCCCTGGAGCATCTCAAACACACACACACACACACCCCAGAAACCTATAAAGATCCATCCATTCACTCGGCCATTTTGTCAGCCACCCCAGAAACATTGCTACTATCACTGAAGTTTCTAGAAATTGAACAAATCTTCTTTCCTTGCAGTCAACCTCCATTTTATTTCCAGCGCCTTTCTCCCAGCTTGGAATCAGACTGAATTTTTCTTCCAAAGGTGTGATTGGGATCTAATTGTTTGTACTTGTATTTTTTTTTTTTTTAAATGGATGGTTTCACTCTTGGTTCTTTTCTTTTGAAAATGTGAAGCGAGAAACAGATGTAAATCCTAGCTTAGAAGGAAATCTCTCCTTTGGGAGGAGCGTTAACAAAAACAACAATGTATAAACTTCTTTACCTGGTGCTGAATGATTAATAATGCATGTGTATTTTGTTTACACAAATAAATAGTACGTCTTTTGAATGCATTCATGTAGTTATGTGTTAGTAGATTAGTATTCAGATATACAACATTTAGGGTGCAGCTCTGTCTCAAGTTTGTTTGCATTTCCAAAGACGTAAAAGGATTGCTTTTTTTTAAAGAAAAAAGAAAAAAAGCAAACATACATGACATCAGTGGGGAAGATCAGCATTTTAGTCTTTAGAGTCAAGTATTCTGGAGGAATGAGAAAGGAAAAAAAACACCTGTACTTGGAAATTACCTTTGAATGTTGAGTCACTTTGGAATGTTTCTGTCTTGATCCCAGCAATATTTATCTCCCTCCCTCTCTCTCTTTTTTTTTTCCTGTACAACACCCACTCCCGGAGAAGGGCTAAATAACTTCTCAAGTGTGAGTACATCTCTCAAACTTCTTGCTGTTGCTTCTATTTTTTTTAAGTAAAAGTTTTATTGATTTTAACAACAAACAAAAACACATAAAACATAAAACATAACATAAAAACATCATCATCCTTCATAAATATACAGACAGTGTATCAGTTGGTTTACCACTCCTTTTTGTGCATCCATTTCATAGTCATCATAATAATTATATTACATAATAACTCATATTATCAATCAACAATTATATATCCTAATATCATTATTAAACAATCATTTGACTATAATTTTACTAATTCATACTTAAGCGAGATAACTATAGTTTAATTTATTTTCTAACAAATCATAAAATCATACCAAGTCTATCTTAATAAAATATTATCAAAATATTATCAAAACCAAAAAAAAAGTATATTCATTATTTCCTAGGTTTCTAAATATTTTATTATTATATTGTATTATCTAACCATTGATAAAAAAGATCGCAAACTTCATAAAATTGTTTATCTTCTTGTTCTCTAATTTCAAATGTCAATCTACTCATTTCTTGCTGTTGCTTCTATTATCGCATTTCATCTTGTCAACGAACTATTGGCGGTAGGGGAATAGAGGGAGATAGAACACAGGTCAGACATTGATGGATGATGGGCTGCTACCGGTTTGGCCCGGTTCAGGCAAACCGGTAGCTAATTTTATCATTTTTAATGACTGGTTCAGCGAACCAGCAAATCCCACCCCTGGCTGGCCCCTCCCACCACACCCTGCTCCTCCGAGTAGTCATCCCGCAGCCCATTTTGGATGCCAGGGAAGGGAAGGCTTGGGGAGGGCAAAAAATCGGCCTTATGGAGGCTTTGGAAGGCCAAAAACAGGCCTATTTCTGGCCTCCAGAGGACCTGCAGAGCCCAGGAAGGCCATTTTCGCCCTCCAGGGAGCTTGAGGAAAGCCTCCGGAGCCCAGGAAGGATGAAAACACCCCCCCCCCCACCATCATGGTGCAGGAGGCCGACTAGGTCACGCCCACCATGGCCACACCCACCCAGCAACCGGGCAGAGAACTGGCTGCTAAAACTTATGAAGCCCACCCCTGCAGTATTCTAGGTGTGGTCTTACTAAGGCTTTATAGAATGGTATTAGTACCTCCCTTGATCTTGGGGATACCTTCAGAATAAATTACTTGAAGTAAACACGGCTGCTCTTAATCTCTATTCACCAAAAGAGAAGCTTCTCTAAGATGCATAGTATCAAAGAAGTAGTCCTTACCCAGTGTGCACTTTTTTTGGTTTATATTTGGGATTGCAAATATATGCATAAAAAAAGCATTTTTTAATTGGCTAAGTGTTGGTAGCTAAGCAATTGCTGTCCATATTCTCCACTGATTTGAGCCTTACTTTTCCCACTGGGATTGCTTGCCGTTGAAAACAAAGCACTGTTTACATAGTTACCTCCCTCTATGAAAATGGAAATCAATAGCAACATATTTTTTTTTAAAAGAGACGAACACAATTGGTAAGTTGCACCACAAGAGGGCAGAATTGACTCAAAGAACAATGCCATGCCAAGTGTTTGAACTGATAACTTTTGAAGATTATTTTTATTTTAGAGTTAGTTGTACTTGGCTGGAAATTCTTAAATCTAAGAAGCAGAAACATTTGTTTTAAGGAAAAAAACGTTTTCCCAGGTCTCTATGGAAAAAAAAAAATTAAAACTCAAAAATGAACAAAGCTTCAAATTTGGTGGGTGTAGCTACAGAGCTGCATGTCGTTATTAGCAAAGAAGAAGAGAACGACTTAAATTAATATTTGAAGCAGGTCTTTCCCGGATTGTAGCATTTTACTACATCCCATTAAAAAAACTGAGATTAATTGAGAAGCATAAGGTATTGGCAGATTGAGTTTCATGGTCTGTGCTGTGTATGGAATAATCCTTTCATAGATATTGGGGGAAAAAAACTCAGAATTTTTGTTGTTGTAAAGAGAGCCTTGCCATGCCATTGGTTTTTGGTTTATTCAGTGCAGGTCAAATGCTTTCTCAATAGTCATGAGAAATGGGACAGCTATCAATTAAAGTGGAGAATGTTATTTTGGGACTGTATAAGATTTGAGCTCTGGTCCACCTCAGGCTTTATGGAGAGATGGGAGTTGAGTCAAAGTTTTCCCTTCCTGACCTAGGTTCACCTGAAGATGAATTGGTAAAAAGAATCACCTTTATCACCAATAGATAACTCTCTTATACATCAGAAAATAATGAGGGAGGAGGGCGGTTAAGAAGTATATGAAATATAAATAAAATGAATAAAATGCACGAAAGAATGTGCTTTGCCTAGTTCTGTTTCCTTTCTCCCCTTATGGGGTTCAAATTTAGAATAATAGAGTTGGAAGCAGGGGTGGGATTCTACCAGTTTGCACCTATTCGCTAGAACCCGTTGTTAACATTCTAAGCAGTTCGGAGAACCAGTTGTTAGAAGAAATTACTGGGCTAATCCTGTAAGGAAGACAGGAAGGAAACATTCTGGTGTTGCTTACAGAAACTGCCTCTCTGTTAACCCTTATTGCATTCTTGGTAGGACTAGACTTCCTGTCTCAGGAACATCTCTGCAGTTTTTTTCCACTCCTTTGCTGGTACTTTGCTTGTGTGGAGTGACCATTCAAAGTTACAATGGCACTGGAAAAAGTGACGTATGACCCTTTTTCACACTTACGACTGTTGCAGCATCTCCACAGTCATGAGAGGCCAGGCGAGGAGATGCATGCCTCGATGTGAGTGATATTGAGTTGGCCACGCCCAGCCAATAACATGACCACCAAGCTGTGTCCACCCAGTCACATGACCACCAAGCCACGCCCACCACCTAAGCCACGCCCACAGAACCGGTTGTTAAAAATTCGAATCCCACCCCTGTTGGGCAACCATTGGTCTGAAATGGTATAAGATTTACTGCCTGAGCAGGAAGTTGGAATAGAAGACCTCCAAGGTTCTTTCCAACTCTATTATTCTATTCTCTTCTTATCACAAGTTCTACTACCAAGCCAGGTTTCACACATTCTAGAGCCCCTGAAGGCAGGACAAAAAACAATGGGTGGAAACTAATCAAGGGGAGAAGCAACCTAGAACTAAGGAGAAATTTCCTGACAGGGAGAAGAATTAATCAGGGGAACTGCTTACCTCTAGAAGTTGTGGATGTTCCAACACTGCAGATTTTAAAGAAGACATTGGACAACCATTTTTCTGAAATGGTATAGGGTTTCCTGCCTAAGCAGGGAGCTGGACGAGGGTCCCTTCCAACCAGGGGTGGGATTCAAATTTTTTAACTACCGGTTCTGTGGGCGTGGCTTGGGTGGTGGGCGTGGCTTGGTGGTCATGTTGCCCAACCTCCCATGTTGGAGCACCCACAACCCTGCCCTGCCTCCCTCCTCCCAGAAGTCTCCACGCGGCCTGTTTTGGGTGCAGGCAAGTGCAGGGCGCGCACGGTGGCTCGGGGAAGGCAAAAATCGGGCCTCCCGGAAGTCCAGGAAGGC